GTCACTGGTGTGACTTTTAAGTCAGACTTGACAGCAAGTTCCACAACTCAAGTCTCCATCATCTCTGCCCATCCCTTAGGCAGAAAGTTAGAAGGGTGGTTTTTGTGTGTGTGTGGAGAAGACATAAATTTGTAAAACAAATGCATATATATTTGTATGTCGCAACTTCACCTCGTTACACCTCCACAGCAAATGCCCCAGAAGTCAAAGGGCATTGGGTGGTGCACCAATATTGTGCTGCAGTGTCCCTCCACATTTAGCTGAAATACAGTGGACCCTCGACTTACAGACGGCTCGACTTACAGACTTTTCGAGTTACAGACTTCTCTGGCCGCAAAATTTAGATTCGACTTGCAGCCAGAGAATCGACTTACAGACCAGAAAAAACCCAAAATGGAACAAAAATAGAATAAAAACTGCCAGTTATGGGATTAATCGGTTTTCAATGCATTGTAGGTCAATGGAGATTCGACCTACAGACTTTTCGACTTGCAGCCACCGTTCCAATACGGATTAATTCCATAAGTAGAGGGTCCACTGTACAATTTCCATACATTGGTTCATAATCTACTGACTAGGACTGATGGGAATAGCAGTCCAGTGGTCCACCCCTCATAACAGGGGAGGGGCACGGGAAGAGGAAGGGCAAGAGAAGGGGGCAAATGGCAATCAAACCAGTCTCTAACAATTAAATTAATATTTAAATGTGGGCCAAATGAGCACAGTGACTATTCACAACAATGTGTGCTGTGGTTGCACCCCCCCACATCAAGGGGGCCCTACATCACCAATACAAAGCACAAGAGCACAAGGAAGGGCATCTGAAATGCTAATCTCACAACATCACTTGCAGTTTTATAAATACTGGGGTCATAAACTGATGCATAACCTTTCCTTAGAAGCTCAAGCATGTGTTCTGATTATGTAACAAGGGGAATGAATGCCCTGGGACCCATGATGCACATTTATTACAATTGAATCTGGCAAGTGCAGTGGGATTAACGTCAGCAGTGAAACAGAAATGCAAAAATAGATTCTGAATAAGAAATGTGCCAGAGGGGCAAACTGTCTCTTTCTTTGCTACCTCCATCTGCCACTGTTGTCCTAAGCTGCACTGCCCTTAAGCTGGTCTGCTATTTATATCCTCTCTGCTGCATATATAGAAAGGCAGTGCTGAGCGGTTAGTTTTGCTTTGTCAGAAATCTTAGGGCCTTGAGGGTTTTAAAGTCTCGCCAGTAATGCAGTGGCAAATAAAAGGTACTAGCAGAATCCTTCCCAGTTCTTGGGGTACAATACTGTCAGAGCTGGGGAACGGCAGCAATATCTCATGAAACTTCACTTTGGCTGCTCTCGGTGTATCTGTCTGTGCACTTGCAATGACTGTTAAGATGTGGGTTTTCTGCACCTGTTGTTTGGGCCTTTGTTTCTGGAATTCTGTGAAAGGATGGGGGTGTTTATTGCTGACAAGTGTGCCGAATTTGAAGACAGTGTGTATATTCTGTGTCGTTTTGCAAGGGCAAATTTGCAAGATAACCAGTGGTAAGTTTTATAGTGGGAGCTTTAATGAACTTACTTTGTACTAAGGATGGGGGAGCTTTGACCCTTGGGGCCCATTCTGCCAGCCATCAGGTTTCTTCTGCTGTTATCTCTCATCAGTGCTTACAGATAATGGGATATTCAGAGACATTTAAACTTTAAATACCTTGCATACATCTGAGCTGTGCTTCCCAGGTCAGGAAGCTATTGCATCGATATGAGCTCTGCTTTGCAGGCCAAAAAGCTGTTCTAAAAGATTTGCATGGGATTAAGCTGTGCTTTGCATGTTTAATAGCATAATATTCACATTGATAAGATTTATATCCGATCCTGTAGCCTATGGTACCTTGTCTCTGCCCTTGCCTCCCCCCCCCCCATATGCCCCTTGCCACTTTCTAAACTGGAACTTGGTCCCTGAACCAAAATGCACACCCCACCCCGACCTTATATAGATCTTTTCCACTGTTGACCTAGGTTTAACCTATGTGACATGATGGATGGAATAAGCTTTTGTTTGGGTCTTTCTATAGGAAGCTTAAAGTGATTATAGAGGGTTCTGGATCTTTTGTGACTTTTGCTGTGATCTTGAGAGGAAGTTTGCACCAGGTCCCTCACCAGTGTCAGGATTAGACTACTGTAATGTTCTCTACATGGGGCTGCCTCTTTATTGTATTTTAAATGCTGTAAGCCGCCCAGAGACCTTTGGGTAGTGTGGGCGGCATATAAATTAAATAAATAAATAAATAAAATAAATAAATAATATTCACATTGATAAGATTTATATCTGATCCTGTAGCCTATGGTACCTTGTCTCTGCCCTTGCCTCCCCCCCCCCATATGCCCCTTGCCACTTTCTAAACTGGAACTTGGTCCCTGAACCAAAATGCACACCCCACCCCGACCTTATATAGATCTTTTCCACTGTTGACCTAGGTTTAACCTATGTGACATGATGGATGGAATAAGCTTTTGTTTGGGTCTTTCTATAGGAAGCTTAAAGTGATTATAGAGGGTTCTGGATCTTTTGTGACTTTTGCTGTGATCTTGAGAGGAAGTTTGCACCAGGTCCCTCACCAGTGTCAGGATTAGACTACTGTAATGTTCTCTACATGGGGCTGCCCTTGGTGCTGTCATGGAGACTTCAGCAGGTCCAGAACTCAGCCGCCAGATTACTGAGTGGGGTGAGAAGATATCAACATATATCCCCCACCCTGACCACCCTGCACTGGCTACCTGTTCATTTCCATGTCAGTTTCAAGGTAATGGTTTTAACATATAAAGTCCTAAACAGTTTGGAACCTTGTTACCACATATAAAGCCCTAAACAGTTTGGAACCTTGTTACTAGCAGAATGCCTCCTTCCTGCCAGATCTGCCCATCCTGTAAGATCTTTCCAGCTGGGCGGTTGAGATGACTTCCTGCCAGATCTGCCCATCCTGTAAGACCTTTCCAGCTGGGCGGTTGAGCTTTTTTGACCCTGAGAGAGATTTGGAAAACAGTGACCATAAACCAGGCCTTCTCAGTGATAACCCCGCAATTGTGAAATGATCTTCTGCCTGAAAACCGCCTGGTGCCTTCATTGATCACTAAAAACATGGTCATTCAGACAGGCCTTCCCGGACTCTAGTATACCCTGGTACAACAGCACTTAAAGAACCAGGTATTCACTAAAGTTCAACCCGGTCATTCAGACAGGCCTTCCCGGACTCTACTATACCCTGGTACAACAGCACTTAAACAACCAGGTATTCACTAAAGTTCAACCCTACTTTCATTATTTTATTTTAATGTCTTACTAATATTATTTTCATTTGTCTATATTGTATTGACTATTTAAATTACTGTATTTTCCTGTTATTGTACTGTTTTGCCTTTATATTTTAGTTTTATTGTACTGTACTGTGTAAACAGCCCAAAGTGGCCTGGGTTGCCAGATGGGCAGTATAGAAATCAATCAATCAATCAATCAATCAATCAATCAATCAATCAATCAAACAAACAAACAAACAAACAAACAAACAAACAAACAAACAAGAATAACTAATTTATAATTTATAAACTTGTACCAGGTTGGTATATAGTATCATGCTTATCCTTTACCTCCCATCGCATTCCCTTATTGCTTTCCCATGACCCTCAGCCTTTAACCTAATCATGATCATACTCAACTGTACGTTGCATTATAATGTACATTTCTTGTTTCTGTTTAAAAAATAAATTTTAGAAAAAAGGTATGTTAAACAGTTATATTCCAGGAGGGGAAAAAACTCACCTCATTTTTTTCTGTTGTACATTATGGATGGACTAGGTTGACACTCTTGGTTGCTTGAGCAGTTTGTCAAATGCAGGGTCAAATTAAAAGATGCATTTTGCTCAATGTTAGAAACATGGACCTTTTGGGTACTTAGGTGCTATGTTTGTCATAGCATACAAGTGCAATTTTCACTCAGCTTTATACCTTACCTTTCAGTGAATTTTGTTTGCGATTGGTGACTGAAAAGTCTAAATAGCTTATTTTGCATGTCTGCTTGCCCAGGCTTTTAGAAAGTCATGTGATGGGAGGAATAAATGCAAAGTGAGCCTCTAGTTCATCACCTGCTAAAGTCTCACGAACAAGGAAGGATTTAGAACATCTGAAAGAACATTGAAAGAGAAAGATGACCCTACATGGGTCTTCTGTGAAAGTGCTACAGGCCTAAAGGGCAGCAAGAGAGAGGGAATGAAGCTCTTCCATTGGAGCAGAGGGCGCTCCAGTGACTGCAGAGCTAGCTGTATCACTGTATGGACTAACATGGCGGCCGCAGTAGAATGGGTGCCATAAGCAGCAGCAAATTGTTATCTATCCATTTTGTTGCAGTAGTAGAGGTGCTGTGAGGATTTTCTGCTTCATGTGCCAAAATCATTTGGCTGGCTTTGGATATGAGGAACTTTGACTTGGGTGGGTAGCATTTGGTGTGTTGCTTCAGGCAATAACAAGATGTATGGAGAATTTTCAGGTGCCACAAATACTTTGCACGGCAGGTACATTTCAGAATTTGGAATGCCGAAAGAGTTAAACAGATACAATCAAAAGATGCTGGCATACTTCCTCTGTGCCTCTCTGGACCTCACAGAGAAGCCACTAGGTTGCCAAAATGATTATTTCATTGGTTACGTAAAGATGCAGCGCTGCCCTTGTAAAAGAGGAAGGGAGCACGGAAGGCATTCACTTGCAGCCGACACTCACTGCTATCGGTTGGGGAGGCTGATGATCCTGAGGTAGCCTTCCAACCTCTCAGTGCCTAATTAAGTGGAGGAAACATGAGAGTGCAGTCGAGTTCACCAATGCCTGGTAAGTAACACTGAAGCACAGGATGGAATTACGGTACTTTCTAAGCAAAGGGGAGAAAGCGGTTGTTCTGTGAGAATTCTAGGGTGTTTGACAAAGGCTCTAACCAACACTTTCTGCATCTCCCTCCTCTTAGGAACACATTGCAACTAGAAGCGCTTTGAGAACATTGAAGTCTTCGAAAGAAACCTCCTTTAAATGGAGGAGGTTTTAAGTGACTGCTGCTACCTAATCCTTTGCTCTCTTTCTGTGTGACTACACGGGCTCTCCAACAGATTCTCTTCCTTTTCTGCTGTCATTCAGTTTATCATCTTTCTAGCATCCTCCAGTGCCAGCCTCGTCGTGACCATGGCCGTGAGAAGGAGCACGAGCAAGCATTTCACAGCAGGGCTTCAAGGGAGTGTGCGAGAGCTCACAAGTTGGAGCGAAAACATTGCTGGTCAAAGAATGTAGTGACGGGAAATCCACTGTCTGGCTCTTGGACTGGGACCTGAATCAAGAAGGGGGGGCTCCTTGCTGCCTCCCAGCTGATGAGGTCAGCTGTTCAAAGGGACCTGAGGATGCCTAGGCACAGGCAAAGCAGTCACCCAGTCCAGCGGTTGGTTTGTGTGCGCAGTCAGAGCATAGAAACCTGAATGAATATTAACCATGACCAAAAAAGGTGCCCTTACGTCTCGTGCGCCGCTGGAGACCTGCATTCCCTTGCTTTTGTGATACGAGGTCGACACAGCTTTAACTGCACATCTTTCGTTATTTAACCCTCCAGGTCATGAGCCCCCAGGACACAAATTCCAGGGATTCATTAAAAATGGATGCAAACGGTTCTTCTTCAACACATTTGTAGTTTTTTATTTGGAAAGAAACTAGTGAAGCATTTGATGGGATGGAAAATGGATGTGGAATAAATGTACTTCTGGACTGGCATTTTGACTTCCCAATAGTTTCTGCTTAAACTTCCATGGATCCTGTTGTTATGTCCGGGTCAGCATTACTGAGCTCTCTCTGTGGACCAGCGTATTAAAACCCACGAATATGTGATTTCCCTGGACTATGACCACAGGACATCATAATGGCAGTTTAGGGAGCCACCGGTATGTTAGATGGAATCGGGAAGATAGTGGCGAAGACTATACCAAGAGCGAGGTCTACGCGGAGGATAAGCAGGGCAGGCAGCGCCGGTTGACCCCTTTTGAGAAGCTCACTCTGGATATGTCTCAGGATGAGAAGGTGGTGAAAGAATTAACCCTGGGGAAGAGGATTGGGTTTTACCGAATCAGAGGAGAAATTGGCAGCGGGAATTTCTCCCAAGTCAAACTCGGAATTCATTCTCTGACCAAAGGTAAGCAGTGCTAATAAATGGCAAGGTGGTGTGGGGAAGAAGCGCGATGACAGTGGCAACTGGCCACTGGTGGAAGGTAGAACTGCGTGTGAGATGAGGAATTGGGGGGCAATGGGTGTGAACATACACTTGCACACAGACACAAACATATACACACAGAGAGAGGCACACACACAGGGATTCCACTCAGATACTCCCTCACCCTTCACTCTCTACAGAAAAAAAATCATCTTCCCTTCAAATTGCAATTGTACTTTCCAGATGCTGTTTCCCACTTTGCTTGGGAGGTTGACTCAAGCACACGCATTCCTCAGGTTTCTCCACCCTACTGCCCATTCTCTTTCTCTCTCGCACACAAGAAGGCTGGGGGTATGGCAGGATTGGAACACCACATGTCCTCTTTCACCGTAGTCAATAAACAGGAAGATAGGAATGGGCTGGTTGGAAATCACCAGAGGCGAGGTCGTATCTATTCCCTTTGCTGCATTCAAGCCAGTTCTGTTGCCATGGAATAGGTGCCTCCTGTGGGAGTCAACTGTACCTGTAGTTGAAGGCAGTGCTCAGAGCTGTATTGCTGCAATTTATGCCCCTGTATTTGCTGCCTAGTATGTCAAGCGCAAAGATGTTTCTAAAACATGAGTAGAGGGATCTTATGAAGTGAGAGTATGGCTGACTCTGAAGCAGAACCTGGAAGAGTTACATTTTTTTACATGCTAACTGGGAGGTTCTGAGATTATAATCCAAAAAGTAATTTATCCAAGCTCAGGATGTTTTTAAAGGATTTTCTAGAATTGGAAAAACCCAGAAAGTTACAAAAGTACACATGTGAAATACCAGGATTGGTACCCCTCAAACTTTAAGATTTCCAAAGGAAGTTTTCAGTGTAGAGTTTAGGTTCCTCTTTAAGAAACAGATTTTGTTCAAACGATTTTGCTATCGTTCTGTCCTGGTTGAACAGAGAAGTCCTTATCTCTGATGCTTCAATTTCTAAGGAAGAAATAGACCAGAGTAAACAATGATGTCAATCAATATATTTGTCATCTCTTATGGGAGACTGCGCTAGCTGAGCTAAATGAGAGGTTCAGTTTAACGTGTGCAGGGCCACACACTGCCTCTCTCTGGTGGACCATCACAAACTGCAGCTACTTAATTTCTTTGCAGCAGGAGAGGATATAGTGGAACAGCTTATTTTCTGATGTTAGCAGTCCAATATGAGGAAATGCAAGACAAACTGGCTGCAATGAAAGAAGTGCTGAGATTTACATACTTTTCTTGGAATTATACGAAATCATTTGTCAAATCAATCTTAAACTCCTAAAGCCACTCTCAAATAACATGATTCGTAATTTAGTGGACTGCTCTCAAGAGCTTCTGTTTCAGATGCGGTTTCTTGGGGCTTCAGATGGCTCATCAACTCACTGACATGTCATTAGAAGAGGAAACCTTCTAATATTCCTCCTTCCCTGTATCTTTTTACTGTCACCTGGAACTGACCCAGAAGTCCAACACACACCAACATTAAAGGATTGAGCCCTGATGGAACCCACTGAAGTGTTATTTAGTAAATTTGTGCAACATCAGGATGCAGCCATGGCAGAGAATTCCTTGTCTTCCCAGACCCTCTGCTTTGGCCCAAGTGCCAAAGCCCTACAGCGTTGGAAATTAATCTGTTTGGGGTCACAGTCCTCTTTGATAACCTAGTGGAAGTTATGGACCCCTTCCCAGAAAACAAAAATCATATAAACACATATGAAATTTTGAATATGATTTGTTTTATGCAAAAAGGGAGGAAACTAGGGATGTGCCATTCACATTTTTTTTTAACTTTTGGACTTCAGCTGTCAAGAAGCCGCATCTGAAACAGAAGTGGTCAATATGACCAGATAGGCGGGGTATAAATGGAATGAATGAATGAATGAATGAATGAATGAATGAATGAATGAATGAATAAATAAATAAATAAATAAATAAATAAATAAATAAATAAATAAGCACCAGAGTTTGATTTCCTTTTTAACAGGAAACTAGGTCATGAAGTCTTCTAGCTAGGCTTTTGTCCAGGTGAGTCACATGATGGTGGCCATAGGTGTGAGTCTGTCAAGTGAAACTCCCGGAATTGAGAATTCTGGAGCTGATGCCAAGAAAATCCAAGTGGCACATCCCTAGACAATATGCAGATGCTGGGTAGCTGGTTCATGGATCCTCGAAGATCATCATATAAGACCTGCTCTACAACTTTTCAGTATCTCCACATTAATTATCTGTCATCATTTCCAACATAGCCAACGTCACCTTTTGCTTGTGTCAGAATTATTTATTAGCCGCTTGAAGGATCTCTTTATTTCTAGGGATGTGATTGGGGCTTGTATCAACTACTTTCTAGAACATAATATGAAATTAAGAATGGCAGATATTGCTGCATATTTGCTGGTAAGAGCAAATTTCTAATTAGAATTCTCATAATTTATATCCAGTCAAAATTAATTCTAGTTCAGTTCCCCTGAAATCAACAGGTCAGGTTCACTGTGAGACACAGCACCTTTTAGGAACACTGAACACAACAAAGCTCATTACTGTGTGGCTTTCAACAGTTGAATGTAGTTTGAAGGAGTGCTGCTTGTTCATTTATAAACTGACTTTACATTAACAACCAAAGCTCCCTATTAGACTATCTGTACATCTAACCCAGTACAGTATTGTCTTCTTTGGCTGGTATCAACTCTGCAAAGGCTGAAGTAAAGGCTGCTTGCATCTCCAAAAGGACCGATATTCCATCCTTTTCCTAAAACTCGGGTGCTAGGGGTTGATCCTCATAACTTTTTTCATGCAAACCATGAGCATTATCACTGAGCTATAACTTTCACCACTTGGGAACTAGCTACTGCCACACTCCTGTATTTTTTTAACTAATGCATCATGCTTCAAATCATACAGGCAAAGACACTGCCTTTGAAGAGAGATATTGAACAGGGACAGAAGTGCTTATGTTTCAAAAGGGTGGAGAGATATTGAACAGGGACAGAAGTGCTTGTTTCAAAACCTGTCATCTGTCTATACAGTGTGGCTTTGCACAAAAGGGCCAGTCCAGTCATTAAGCAGAGTGAGGTGGCTTGTTCAGATGTTGAGGGGCACAAAATGGACTGAATGGTTTGTGCTTCTATGTGACCCTACTTATCTGCACTGAGCTTTCACCAATTATCAGGCATTTTTTAAAATTCCAAGCAAGCGGGGATTTCTCCCTGAAAACATAGGAAATATTTTCCTCTTTTTCATGAAAGGTCATGTCTGTGTGGTTCCCCCTGCCTTCCTGCACCCTGTCTGAGAAGCATTGAAAAAATTGTCAGGTTGATGTGATAGAGTTATCTTTCTGGCAAGCGTGATAGGTATCTGTGCTGCAGAGCTGAATTAGGTTCAGAGGCTTCTGGTGCTAATCTATTGATTGATCAAAATTAGAATGACAATTCCATTTACACTCTAAATCTTATGTAGGGAACAGTGTGGCCAAGATCTGAAGAGCTCCTTGAATCATGTCCTAGGATATTCAGCCTGCACCCTACGACATCTGCCTGCCGGCATGACCGAACACTCATCCCTTTCATAGCCTTTGTGTTGTTTTCTGAAGCAGGATCGGAAGCACATAGAGAGCTGCAGTGGGAATGAAAATCTCCCCTCCCAGTTTTATTGAGGAAACCAATTCTGTTAGCAAAAGAAGCCCTTTGGAACCTGGCCTTTGTTTTTTTTCTTTTGACACAGTAGACTCTCTGTTCCTGTCCTGTATTGTAAACTGCATTTGGATTTCCTGAGCGGCAGCTTCATATGTGCCATGTTACACTGACTGACGCTGAAGCTCATTTGCCATTCTGTTGTTCATTTGTTTGTGTTCAGAGAAATACCTCTGAGGTTCTTTTCCATCTCCTTTGTTTTGGCACTATCCTGGATAATGTGTTGTGAGCTGCAGATTTGGTCACTTCATTCATAATTCAAGATAATGTCTGAACATGTTAAATTATCATTTCCTCCTGCATGAGTACTGTTTCCTTTTGTTTATCCAGTGAGTGGGACATAGGGTGGGCCCTCACTTTATCTCATGACTGCCCCTATTTTCTCAGGAGTCTTTGTTGAGGGACTTTGTCAGATGCTTTTTAAAATGCCAAGTTTAATAATGATCAAAATCCTGTTGTGTGATGTAGTAAATCACACTAGAGTAGGCCCATTGAATCAATGGGCATTTGTTGAGTCAACTTCTCTATAGGTTCCATTGATTCAAGGGGGTCTACTCTAACTGCAACTAGCAGTTAAACTCAAATTGAAGTTATGGAGGAGTTGATATCCCATTGATTCAAAGAGGTGCACTCTGGCTCAATTTACAACGTTAAGCAACATAGTTTTGGCCAATGATTTACAAGTCACTGCTCTCTCAGTAACATAAAAATATGGATGGAGAACCCTTTGTTCTCTTATGAGCAAAAATAAATCTACTGAAATCTATACACAAGTATAATTGTATTGAGATTAATTGTTTTGATGAAAGTACTACGTTCTTGGTTGCATTGTGCAGCATTTCCTCAGAATAAGCCAATGGGGCAGTAAAAATCTGGAAAATTAGATTGTTGGAAAGCTTGGAGCTCTCTATGAAGTAATTTCTCTTAAGAATATCTTAAACTTGAGACTTCTTCCTCCTGTGCAGGTCTGTGGGAAGAGCTCTACAAGGGAGCTGTAGGTAACCTTCTCCTTATATGCCTTGGGGCCAGTAGAAATTAAGACTAGACGCACAATGAGCACTTGGGCTGTCGGTGCCCACCCGAGTAGATTAAACTAGTCAAAAAAAAAAAAAGAAGGAGGAGGTGCTTCTTTGCTGCTTGTCTACAGAGTCCTCAACTAAGACTTGTCTTCTCTTTCAAGCTGCCTCTTCAAAGACTGTTTATTCACCTGTATGCTTTGGAGTATGCCACATCCAGTATTCTAAGAAGTGGTTCTCAGTCTTGGGTATCTGGATTTGTTGGACTACAATTCCCAGAAATCCTGACCAGCACAGCACAGGCTTCTGGGAGTTCTGGTCCATTTGAGGACCCAACGTTGGAAACCACTACTCTAAACAATATTTGGTTGTGACAGGAGCATGATCATCTATGCCCACCATCTGTTACCTCCAAAGAGTTCAACAACAACTTGTCATCCTGGAAAAAAGTGACAAGTGGTGCCACAGATTTCTGTGGATCTTTATAAAGGACTTGGATGAGGGAATAGAAGGGATGCTCATCAGATTTGTAGATGACACCAAACTTGGTGAAGTAGCTGTTACTTCACAAGGCAGGATTCAAGATGATTTTAGCAGATTAGAGAACGGGGGCAAAACAAATTGAATTTCAATGGGAGAAAAATGTGAAGTTCTACATTCAAGTAGGAAAAATGAGAAACATACCTGCAAGATGGGTGACATCTGGCATGGCAATATTATGTCTGGAAAGCATTTGGGGTCTTTGAAGGCCACAAGCTAAACATACGTTAGCAGTGTGATGTGGTGACTGAAAAGGTTAAGGCAATTATTGACTGTACCGACAGAAATATAGTGTTCAGTTCAAGAGATGTAATGGTGATGCCTTGTTCTGCTTTGGCCAGACCTGACAGGGAATACTGTATCTAATTCTAGGCACCACAGTTTAAGATGGATATTGACAACCTGACATTTGGGATACAGTGGTGCCTCGCATTACGACGTTAATTCGTTCCAGTGAAATTGCTGTAGAACGAAAACGTTGTAATGCGAAATTAAAAATCCCATAGAAACGCATTAAAACCCGATTAATGCGTTCCTAGGGGCTTGAAACTCACCGTCCAGCGAAGATCCTCCATAGGGCGGCCATTTTCACTGCCTGTGCAGCGAGGAATCCGTCCCAGAAAAGAGCGGGGACCCATTTCTTTTCCCAGTGGTCATTTTGAAACTGCCGATCAGCTGTTTTAAAATTGTTGTTTTGCGAGAATCGGTTCCCGAAGCAGGGAACCGGTCATCGCAAAGCGAAATTCCCCCATTGAAACCATCGTAAAGCAATTGCAAAAAGTTCATCGTAATGCAGTTTCGTCGTTAAACAGGGCGCCCGTCTTGCGAGGCACTTCCTCATAGCAATAGCAGTTTGACTGTAGAATGGACTAACTTGCAAGATGCTGGGAAATGTTTTAATCCCCGCACAGCAGGGATGTTGGCAAGCCTTTAGGTCTGGGTCCTGAGTCCGAGTCTTTGGTACCAAGTCCTGAGTTTGAGTCCCTATTAAAAAGGGAACAAGTGGGTGGGTTCTAAGCTGTAAGTTGAGTCTGAGTCATTGAAAAAAAAACCCAGCAGAGTCCAAGTTGAGTCACTGGTGTGACTTAAGTCCAACTTGACAGAGAGTCTCACAACTTGAGCCCCCATTACTGCTACACAGTATTGACGGAGATGGATCAATATTAAAATAAAAAGAGACAATATTATTTATTTACTAAATACATATTTTAATTGTATTTTTTCTACTTTTCTGTCCGTTGCAACCAGAGTGATTTAATACAATATGTTCCATTCATTTCATCTTGTCTTATACTCTCTAACATAATATTAATCTAATATATTCTACTTAAATTGGTGTAGATTTCATCCAGGTATAAAGAGGTTCCCATCCATTCTGTCATTTAGTGTATCTGTCAAAATATCCATTTCTGCTAGTTCCAAAATCTTCTCAATAAATTTTCTCTATGTATTAAGCAGGATAGATATTATACTTACTTACAATGTGAAACTTAACAACTGTCTTTGCAGAAAAAGTAGCTATCAAGATTTTAGATAAGACGAAATTAGACCAGAAAACACAGCGATTGCTTTCCCGTGAGATTTCCAGCATGGAGAAGCTGCACCACCCCAATGTCATCCGACTTTATGAGGTTATGGAGACGCTGTCTAAACTGCACCTGGTGATGGAATATGCTGGTGGAGGGGAGCTCTTTGCTAAAATCACAACCGAAGGGAAGTTACCAGAAGTGGAGAGCAAACACATATTCTCTCAGATTGTGTCTGCTGTAAAACATATGGTAAGTTAATTTCTCAGGTTCCTCCAGGGGCAGTTCTCTGTGCTTCTCTTATTTCTAAATGGGAGGGGAATGGTTGGTTTCTTAGACATTGTTGGACTGCAATTCCCATTGATCCTAGCCAGCATGACTTCAGTGGGGCAACACGTTTTCCTTCCCCTATTGTGAAGAATACGCACAAGTTGCTCTATTCACTGCAGGCACACATAGAGCATGGGTGTGATCATTGTTCCAGGGTTAGCAATTAGCGGAACTGTGGTTGCAATGGAAGATAGTCCTTGGCATCTATTGCTGTGGAATCAACATGATGGCAATGGTGGGCAGTTTCTGAAGGCCCAAGGCAGAAATAGGAAAAGTTTGCATTTTTAGACTACAACTCCCAGAATATCTTGACCCTTCTGGGTGAGGTACTGTATTTTTTCGTGTATAAGACACACCCACGTATAAGACACCCCCCTCCACTTTTCTAACCCAAAATTAAGAAATCTACGTGGGGCTTAGCAAGTGTAGGGGGAAAGGGATCAAAGCCCTGCAGGATCACTTTGATCCCTGTGTTCCCCTCCACTTTTTCTCTCTCCTCAGCTTACTTCCATGTATAAGATGACCCTCAATTTTTAGTCTAAAGATTTTAGACAAAAGTAGTCTTATACATGGAAAAATACGGTATTCTGGGAGTTATAGTGTAAAGAAAGAACACCCCAACACCATCTTTGGTCTTTGGGTTATTTTTGCCCACCTTCACAACCTTGAAGGACACTTTCTGTTTTTAATGGAGGCTCTTTCAGGCCCAAAAGCAGGCCCAGAGAGGGGCAAAAGCATATAAGAGCATTAAAATGAAAAGACTGCGCCCCAAGAAGCTTCTGGAGATATAATTTGCCTAGCCCTGCCTCCTAGTGGATCTGTTTTTGACTGTACTTCATTTCTTTATATTTTGCCTGACAGCATGAAAAGAACATCATTCACCGGGACCTGAAAGCAGAAAATGTATTTTACACCAGTAACACCTGTGTTAAAGTAGGAGATTTTGGATTCAGTACCATTAGTCGAAAAGAAGAGGCCCTTAACACCTTCTGTGGTTCTCCTCCTTATGCCGCCCCAGAGCTTTTCAAAGACGAAAGCTACATTGGGGTTTATGTGGACATCTGGGCACTAGGCATTCTTCTTTATTTCATGACGACAGGACTCATGCCCTTTCGGGCGGACACAGTGGCCAAACTGAAGAAGTGCATTCTTGAGGGGATGTATGTATTCCCACCGTTCCTGTCAAAACCTTGCCAGGAGCTGATCCGGGGGGTCCTCCAGCCAGTACCGTTGGAGCGCTATTCCATCGAGCACATAATGAGCAGCGAGTGGATGAAGGGAGTGCAATATCCGAAGCCCTTGGAGCCATTTAAATTGGATCCAAAATATCTGTCAGAGAATGGAACACTCCGAGAAGAAGATGCTGAGGTAAAAAATGTCCTGAACAATTTGGGAATCACAGAGGAACTTATTCAAAACAACCGTGGGAGAGATTCTCGCAGCTCAATAACTGGGATCTACAGAATTGTTTTACATAGGGTCCAAAAGAAACGGGCCATGGAGGCTGTTCCTATAATCACCCAACCAGAACCCAGAGAGCAAGAGACAAAAAAAGAACATTGTACTTACCGAGGCCTCAAACATTCATCTAAGCTCTGTTTAATTTTATAAACAGCATAGCTGGTTCAATATTCAGCAAACCTTAGAGATATGTTTGATTTGACACCAGTGTGCTCTTTCTCTTAGCATTTTTGTAATTTTGAAATAAACTTTTTAAAAAATGATGCCTTAGACTTCTCATGTATGATTTCCTACTCAAAAAAACATTCAAATAAAAATGGCACAGAACAAGGTGCCCCGCTTGACGACGATAATCCGTTCCACGAAAATCGCTGTTAAGCGAAATCGTCATCAAGCAAAAAAAAATCCCATTGGAATGCATTAAAAATCGGTCAGTGCAAAACCCATTGGAATGCATTAAAAATCGGTCAATGCGTTCCAATGGGGATATACCTCATCATCCAGTGAAGATTGCCCATAGAGAACCACCGATCAGCTGTTTAAAATCGCTGTCTTCCAAAGCAGGGGTCCGGAAAACAGCCATTTTGTGAAGGGAGTGAAGCCATTTTACGAAGGGAAGCCATTTTGCAGAGCCAGAAAAATAGTCTTTTAGCCTTGAAGCAGGCTCCTAATCGACGTCAAGCGAAAAAACCCCATCTGAACCATTTTGCGATTGCAATAGCGATCGCAAAAAACTCATCGTAAAGCGATTTCAACGTCATGTGGGGTAAGCGTCAAGCGGGGCACCACTGTATATGAAAAGTCAAGCTAGATAAGAAATGTTAAGAGTAAAGTGTAAGCCAAAGGATATTTTCTCAGTTTGAAGTCCGCCCCATTGTATTTAGTGGTGCTTACTCCCAGGGTAGGTGTGTATAATGCTACAGCTGTAAATCTGTGATTCTAAACATTGTTGCATTAGGGACAGTTACTCCCAGGGTAGGTGTGTATAATGCTATAGCTGTAAATTGTTGCATTAGGGACACATGTGGTTGTTCTTTTGGACTAGTTTCCAGAATTCCCCAGCCATCATTGCTAGCAGTCATGTTGACAGTGAGATATTGGAAATTGTGATTGAAAAAATATTTTTTCTTCTTTCAGGTCATGTAAGTCTAAGTAACCTGCATAGGGCTCGCTTAGGAGTAAACCTACATAGAATGATGTTGCCCTGTGATCCATTTGGGAATAGTTGTGTGAATTGAGGGTTACCATGGTCATTTAGGAGGACCCCCTGAGTGTACTCACACATTAACATCTCACAGAGATTTAAGTAATTGTGCTTCTGGCTTCTGTAGTACAATGGTGCCTCGACTTATGAACATCCTGACTTGTGACCAATTTGAGTTATGACCAGCTCTGGCTGCAAAATTTTGCTTTGACTTGCAACCGGAGCTTTGAGTTACGACCGGAAAAAAAGACGGGGAATTCAAATGTACTAACTGTTGGCCAGCGAAGAGGCTACTTCTTTGTAGCTCTTTCCCTCCAGCAGTTTGAGAGTGTGCGTTCGGAGGAGGCTTTGGACTGCCTGGTAAAGTACTACCAGTTCTGGGTGGGTTTTGCAGCATGGGCTTGGGCTGGGTGGTGGGGTTATATTTCTATGCTGTGATGGGTCTTGTGGTATGTTTTTGTGTTTTTAGTGGAACAGATTAATCGCGTTTCTGATGGGTCTTGCAGTGTGTTTTTAAGTCCCTGCTGGAATGGGTTTGTTTGATTTGGAGGGGGGCGTGACTTACATCATAAAAGACAGTACAGTATTTTAAAGCTAACAGCAGTGAGCATTTAGTTACTAAACCATATTAAAAGAATAAGCAATATACAGTATTGCATATGTCTTGCTTTAAAGGAGTTGTGATGGTGAAAAAAGACATCATCATTCCACCATGCTATTTGAACAAAATTTTTGAATGTTTTCCTAATCATTTTGATTGCTAGTGGGTTGGTCTTGTTAATTACAGCACTAATTGACAGTATGACCTAGTCCTACAACTGCAGAGCTGGAAGAGACCCTATGAATTATTGAGTGCAGCCCCTGTCTCTGAGGCACGGTGGGGAATTAAACTCCCAACCTCTGGTTCTTCAGCCATATACCTGAGCTCTCCAGCAGTTGTTTACAACACTCTTTGTAAGCATCCTGCTTTTACCATCTGGTTGCTACAGAAAGTCCAGATAGATTGACCTCAACAGATGTCTACCTACCTTCTGCTTAAAAAACCTCCAATGAAGGATACCACCAGCCTGCAAGGTAATGAGTCCCACCGTTGAACTGCTCTTGCATTCAAGTTGGTTCTTCTAATGTTCAATCAAAGCCTTCCTTCCTATTACTCTCTGAAGACCTAATGCTTCCCTCTGCAAGCAGTAGAGAACGTTATTAATAGCTTGTTCTCCGGTGTGTCAGCCCTATTTAAAGAGAGCCTACATAGAGTAGGCGAAGTTAATTCCCTTTAATTAGGGAGTAAGGAAGGGAATGGTCACCACCTCAGAAATCTAAACATGGCAGGTTGGCAGTGGGGAGAAATAATAGCTAAAACTACTCAATTTTAAAACCATTCACTGTCTCAGTGGGGCAGCTAGGAACCAAATCAATCCTGAAATTTTCCAGACAATTTTTTGATTCTCAGTCTGATTCTCTCAGCAGCTGCTGCTTTGCTTGTGGGCCCATCAGTGGGTTTGCAGTCTATCCACAATGAAATAGTGGAGGCAGTGGAAGATACGTGGGCCTGGCGTGCTCTGGTCCATGGGGTCACAGTCAGACATGACTTAACAACTAAACAACAACATGATCAAATATATCTGGTGGTAGTATACTAATTTTGCATTTTCTAAGCAGCTCGCTGCTGGAAGATGCAAAGTTGTAGCAGCTCAGAAAGGGAAAAGAGGGCTTATAGTAATTGTGGTAATCTGTACTCCACTACAGATTATTTGTTTCATAGCCCTACCACTTCAGGAGAACAGGCAAAGCAACAGCAGCGGTGGAATCCAGGGTGACTGCAACAAAACAAATTTAGCAAAGTAGCAACCAACAGCATGAGTAGACTTTACAGTTACACAGAATGGCCATCAGTCAGCAGAAAAGAACTTTGCTTTTCACTACAAGTTAAGCATGGATCAAAGGGCTAGAATGAAACATACCTCTCAAAGGGAACACAAACATTGCAAGTCTCTTAATTAAGAATTTAACAATCCAAGCAGCTGACTTCTCACTAGTTTAGAACTGCATGTGGGATTATTGAAACATTTTACATTCCTACATCCTTGCCTTCCAGGTACAGTGGTACCCCGCTTGACGAGGAATCTGCTTCACAACATCAAAGGGCTAGAATGAAACATACCTCTCAAAGGGAACACAAACATTGCAAGTCTCTTAATTAAGAATTTAACAATCCAAGCAGCTGACTTCTCACTAGTTTAGAACTGCATGTGGGATTATTGAAACATTTTACATTCCTACATCCTTGCCTTCCAGGTACAGTGGTACCCCGCTTGACGAGGAATCTGCTTCACAACAATGTCCCGCTTGATGACGAATCTGCTTCACAACGTTTAAATGGGCAAAATCTGCTTTACGACAATCGGTTCCCTGCTTTGGGAACTGATTCTTCGATTACGACGATCAAAATAGCTGATCGTCGGGTTTTCAAAATGGCTCCCTGCTGTGATCAGGACAGATTTTCGCTGCACAGGCGTCAGAAAATGGCTGCCCTATGGAGGATCTTTGCTGGACGCCGAGGTATTTCACCCATTGGAACGCATTGAACCGGTTTTCAATGCATTTCAATAGGCTTTTTTATTTCACTTGACGAGGATTTCGCTCTACAGCGATTTTGCTGGAACCGATTATCCTCATCAAGCAAGGCACCACTGTACTTAATTTTTAAAAAATTTAAAGATCTAAATGCTTGTAGAATTAAGTCTCTTTGGCTTAGGTCCAAAGGTCCTTTTGTGTCCCTGGAAAGTACTTGAATCCAGTTTATATTCTACAACCAGATGTGGGGTAAAATCTGACAATCCTCATCCCTGACAGCAGGCTCTGGTTCTATTGCTGAGAATCCAATGTGTCAGAGGAAGGACTGAAGATAGTCAAGGCTGCTCAAATTCTGGTGTTTAGATATACGCATACGAAGCATGTTTACCTTTACAATATAGTATCCAGTTTAGAGCAAAAATACATCTGCAATCACCTTAACTTTTAAAAAATAATAATAAAGGCCAATGTAGTCAAGTTCTGATCCATGGGTTTACTTTTGCTTCAAGTTGTAATGAACGGTGTTCTTTTCACTGGGGGATGGTAACAAAGAGAAAACGAACAAACACCATTAAACCTAGCTAGGCATACAACCAAGCAGTTTAGCAGAGACCAAGAACTTAGTTTCCTGATGACACATCATGGCTGTTCACATCAGGATACTGCTGAACATTGATCAGTAATGTGTGTTCTGAAATCATTTCAAAGTTGAGACCAATATGTGTGAATTCTGGATTTAAAGTTCTTCTGTAGGTAAATGCAGGTTATCCAAATCAGAATGTGTCCACAAATAGCGTGCACAACACTGTGAAAGCAAGGTTGGGAGTAGCTTCCTTTACCACTGTCCCAAAAGTTAGCTCTCTACTTGTCACTTTACAGCACCCAGGACAATTCAGAGAAATAGCTCACCTCTGACTGTGCAAAGGTTAACACTGTGCATGGAATAGATATGTTTAATCCGCTTGAAGTTCAAAGGACACACCTTTGTGTTATCTAAATAGGCCTCAATATTTTTGAGATGCTTCCTTACACCAAAATTTAGATTCCCTCATAGATAAACACCATCTTGTGAGACAGAAGGCGAGAGGGATGCCCACTTGCTGGAGAGCCATCCCTCCCCCACAACAAGAATAAGGAGGAGAGTCCCCAGCCAGCCCCAGAACCTGCGGCAGAAGCTCAGCAAGGGATAGAAATAGAGGAGTTGACTGAGAACTTGCAGGGTATGACCTGCAGGAAGGAGTTGACTGAGAACTTGCAGGGTATGACCATGAGGAAAAGGCAGGAAAGGAGAGGAAAAAGAGGGTGGAGTTTGAGGCAGGAACAGGTGAGGTAAAAAGGAAGGAGAGTCAGTAGCTGCCAGACTGGGAATGGGTGTGGATGGAGGATCCCTGGACAGGATTATGGGAGAGGCTGAGAGTGCCTAAAAAGGAAGCGGGTTACAGAAGAAGGGATATTCCCCCTCCCCCTTGCTGGAAGGTTTGCGGGGCAGACCGTGAAAGACTGGGTCCCTCTGCTGATTTACTGGAACCATTGAACTGTAGGTATGGCAACCCGTTCCTGTTAGAAGATTGGAGATCCCTTCTGGACCCACTGGCAGAAGGAGAAAAGACTCATAACCATGTCACAAACACTTGTTTATTGTTAAATGCACCAATAATCTTTCACCTGTTTTGAAGCAACAAAAATCTACTGATTTCTTTGAACCAAAAGAAGAGCCAGATTAATATTAAACAGATGTTATGGTTCGCCATGCTCCTCTCCTCCCAGTTCTAGAACTGCAAGGCTTGAACATGGAAAGGGGCGTTAATGACTCTTCTGCTTACTGTAATTAGATCTGCATCCCCAAGTGCCAGCAATGACAAATTGCTCACAGTCAGGCTTAAGTTGTATTAGGATAAAATGAATGACAAAACTAATGCCAGTAGTTCAAACAGCTCAACATTTATTTTACAAGGCATCTGCCTCATCATTTGTGAGGTTTACAAAGATTACATTTTGTGCAATGGGGTTTTTTTTTTGCCTGTCCATTGCCTGCAATGGACTTGATATGCTTCTGACAACATGTGAACATACTTCAAACCTGTCCTTTGCTCCTTTGTCACATGCAGTCACAGCACTTTAGAGCCCATTTGTTTATCAAGTCATGTTAAGTCAAAGCATGTCCAAGATGATGTACAGTTGTTGAGATTATCAAACCTTAGTCAATAGCATTTTTCTAAAACAAGCTACATAACACCAAAACCTTGCATCTTAGCACGGTACATATTGGTTCTTGCAAATCTTACTAGACAAACTTGTTTGTGCTGTTGTGTTAAAGCAAAATAGAATAGGGCAAACTGTAAGTTTAATGTAAATACAAAGTATTTTACAAGCGAGGAGCTTTTTTTCCCTTTAGTTCCAGTTCATTTAGGCCTACCCAACATGGCCAATGGACTCCCACTACAGAACCTACAGATACTACAGTGGCCAATACAATGGCCAAAGTATTTCCTCTGAAGTAGGTGTACAAAAATCAACGGATAAATCTGAAGCAGAAGAACCTGCCAGCCAAACAGAACCTACAAGCTATGGACCATGCTCCTCCTGCTGCAGCCTTAGACAGGCTTCTCTTGTGGGCCAACATGCAGAGCTCTCCAGAGGGCTTTGTTCCACTCAAGAGGGCAGACATAGTACTGCTTTTCTTACAGTATGTGCTTAGAAGACTACAGGCTTTGTGTGGTCCTACAGAAATGAGAACGGCTTTACATAAGATTGAAACAGAAGCCACATCTAGTTGTGCTCAAAGCTGTATCTGTTGCCAAGAATCCCACAACATATGTAGAGAAGGCCTGACAAGGAAAATTTTCAGGATCAGTCCATTCTTAGGCTGAACATCTGACAAGTTCTTTGGAAGCTGAGTGTGCAAAACCAACTCTCAGGTAACCTTTATAAAAGGTGACATGGGAGAGGTCTGAAAGTATGTGTTGGAAACATTTTAAGAAGCCAACCAGTCCCCATTCCCATGTTCTGCCATAAGAACAGGGGTGGGTGGATGTCGTTCACTCTCAAATGCATGTACCTTTTAGCTTTGATAGTACTACAAAATCATATTTCAGGAAAGGGGAGGAGTTTTTTAAATATGACCAAACAATTGGCATCCAGATTATTTGTAATCACAGTCACCTTTCTGACTAGATTTGAGCTAATAATGGCAATTGGAAAAAAAAATTCTCCAATTATTAGCACCTTGAAAAAACAAATCATTTGCACCTTCCCCAAACCTATGGGGTACTTTAAGGGGTAGAACAAGGTTTCTATTTAAGAGACAGGGTGCTTACACTGTTAAGGCACATAGGACCCCAACATTTAAGACTAAGATGACATGCATACATGGCTTTAGATCACATTATTTCTCTCAATAATGGCTTTTAAAAAGAAGTCTTGCTTCTTTTCTGGATGATAATTTACAAACTTTGTTGGGATTTTATTTTAAAATGGGCCAAGAGGGGTGGGAAGAACAACTGTATTTTTCCTGAGCCTAAAATTAAAGTACCTAGGTTCTGAACCATGACTAAGAACAACCAGAAAGAGCCCTTGGTAATTTCCGTCCCAAGAAGCACGAGAACGTTTAGTGTTATGAAACTACAAATGTCAACAAACAGCATCAAAAGACAGAGCCTCAAGAAATAACAATTTTTCATGCTCTAATTAAGCAGCACTGTACAGAAGAATGTGGGTAATAACAGTTAATCCCATGTACAACCCCACCTCTCCCCTCATCTTTTCAGCTCCCACCTCATAGAGGTATCCTAATGCTCCCCATTGGAAAGGGAAACAGCAACTGCTTCAGAGTCTGTTTTTGCAGGAATTCTTGGTACTTTCTTGGCAGGGCTGGGGATATGCTGGAGGGAAGAAAAGGGAAAGGGGGGGGGAAACACACATCAGGACACATTAAAAAGCAGTTAACAGTTAAATGCATTTTAGGTGTTCCCAGTTTCTTTTGAAATAGCAATCAGACAAGAGGGAACAGCATCAAACCATCTCTTCAGACAATATTCCACTAAAATCTTTAGTTGACAATGAGGGATTTCAACCTGATGAGACACTTAGGAAGCTTTCCAAGTCAGAGAAGATGTATAGACTGAAATTCTGTTCTCTTAAGTTATGCCACATAAAGCTGATGACCTCCATCAGCTGCAGCAATTTTCCAAAAATTTAAAAAAACTGATCCCCACCCACCCTCAAAGGGCCTGCAGTTCCCATAGAATCCACTTCATCAAAGTGAAGCTGTTGGGAGGCACAGAACAAAGTCTTTCATTTCTAAAACTCACCACTAGCAGGATGACTTTATTGGCAATGGTGATTTTTGTAAATTAAGACATGCGCCCCATTCCGCAGCCCCCAATGCCTTCTTCATGATGAAGGGGGTTCATGGGAGCATTGGGACCTCTGGGGGAGGATCAGAAAAGTGTCATTTCCGACACATTGCAGTGTGTATGTTATGCAGCATAATGTACAGAACAGGATTTTAGCTACAAACATTTAGATATGGGTGAAAATGGCAGTCCTCTCATCTGAAGAGTTATTCAGAGAACGTCAGGTTGCAGACATGTTTTTCTTCAGATTTTCAAACCTGACATTTTGCAATGGTCTTTTTATGATAGAATGGACAATTTATCTGAAATGGAAAGATCAGTGACAGAAGAAAAACCAATCACCATCATGTCCCAGATTTCTTTTGTATCAATAACAATGAATAATAATTAGATATCTTTCAGCAGCAAAAACAAAAAGCAAGTGAGGAGGCTTCTGATTTTGGAGCATGGAAATCAAGAAAAACAATCTGTTACTAGCTCTTCCAAATCCAGTGCAAGTCCAGTATAAGACTATAAATGGTATATGATGGGGTGGGCAAAGTAAAACCCAGACACTCTGGATAAATATTTCCCTGAGTCCCAAAATGGCAAAGCCTTTGGAGGGAATAATTTTCCATGTTTATGTTATTTCATAACTTCTCTGTCCACTAGTTTTAAACTAAAAAAGGCATTTAAAAATACAGCAAGTGAACAGCTTTGCTTTTAAAAGGAAGTCTGAAACAGGCATAAGAAGGTCCTGAAATTATATACAAATGGCAACGTGTATGCCCAAAAGTGGGAATGTAGTTTGCCATTTGAGGGAGGGGGCAGTTCCACCTCCCAAACATCAGGGATAGAGTTTTCCTACTGTCTTGGGGAGGAAAAACCCTCCTACTGATTCTCAGAAGTTGCTCTGTCCTGGTACTGGAAAACAACAAAGCTTAATAAGAACTAAAAAATCAATTTTACTGCAAAAAGCATGCTTTGCTCAAGGCAATGGATCTTCCTACGAGTTCTAAACACTAGGAAAGCATTGTAATTTAGAAAATGTGATATCAAAGGACTGAGAATATGAAGGGTTTTTTTGTTGTTACGAGGGGGTGCTGATAAGTGTTGAGCCTTAGAAAAAATTGAGCTAGGAAGCTATAAATTGCAGGGTGCATTGGCCAATTTGTTTATATTCAATGGTGCAAAATCAACTACCAATGATTTTAACTTAAATTTCATTTTCCGGTCCAAAGTGAACATGGCGGTACCTCCAGAAAAGTTCAGTGTTGAAGAGCATAGGACCACAATCAAGTTCCTGTTTCTCCAAGGGAAAGGTGCAAAGCAGATCCATGAGGAAATGTCACAAACTATGGGTGACAGTGGCCCTTTATATGCAACAGTTAAATGTTGCGTTGTCAATTTTTAAACTGGCTATTTCAGTGTTGGAAGTGAGAAACCCAGTGGAAGGCCCGTTTCTATCTCTGTGCCTGCAAATGTGAAAGCCATCCATGACATGATCATGGAGGTGGTTCCCCCAGGCCAAAGAAGTTCCGAGTGCAAAGGTCAATGCAGAAGCAAATGGCAACAGTTTTTTTGGGATAAGAAGGGAGTTCTGCTGGTGGACTACCTCCAACAGGGTTCAACCATCAATGCAAAATATTACTGTGCTTTATTGACGAAGCTGAGGCAAAACATCAATGAAAAATGTAGAGGAAAGCTCTCCAAAGGTGTCATCTTGTTGCATGACAACACCTTGTCACACACTGTAGGACAGAACTGACCTCCTTAGGGTTTCAAGTGATGCCCCATCCACCCTATTCTCCTGACCTGGCTCCTTCTGACTATTATCTGTTCCCCAAATTAAAAAAACACCTAAAGGGACAACGATTTGGGAGTGTTCTGGAGGCAACTAATGCTGCAAATGAGTGGTTACACCAGCAGTCTGAATAATTTTATTTGTAGGGATTTAAGAAGCTGCAGGACAGATGTCGCAAGTGCACTGACTTCCTGTGGAAATATGTAGAATAGTGTGGCAGTTACAGCTTCCTAGCTTAATTTTTTTCTGGGAAAGGCTCAATACTTAGCAGCACCCCCTCATATTTTGTCAATTGTAGGAAAAAGTTGTTTGCAAAATCCTGGAACATGGGTACTTGTTCAAGAAAAGAGATAATCTAACCAAATGCAGAAATTGTTGAGATATTGCATGAACATTTATATTACAAAAGCTTAAGAAAGGGGGGTGGGTATGTATGATTTGACAAAGTGTACACATTACTGAAGAATGCAACTTACTGGAACAGTAAATACAGACATACTCCGCTATATGCTCTTAATATTCTGTAATTTATTTTTGCAAACAGGAGAAAAAAAGAAGGAAAAGTTATCAAAGGGCCCAAACTTTGTGTATTTTCTATCTAGAAAACTCAGAAAAAGGTCATCATAAGTCACGATTGACTTGATGACATACAATTACTATATTAGTAAATTCCACTTAAGCAAGGCAACTGGCTAAGATTTAAGTATTGTTGGTGTGTGCATTTATGGTTAAGGGAAGGTGGGGGAAAGGGATGAGTAATTATGTAGTTTGCTTCTAATGTTAGGCACCTGCTCTTTCATGTTTTAGGATTGCAATTGGCAAGTATTTCCAGAAACTGCAGCCCATACATCCAAATCTATGTATCTGTAGGCTCTGCTTTTGACTTAGTTATCTGCAGCACTGGCTTTTTTACCCTTGCTTCTAGTTACTGATTTGCCAGAAAGCTAGCTAGCTAGCTGCTGTAGTACTTCTGGAACACTGTAGGATTGATGTTCATTAGGCTCTATAGAGGTTGTCTCCTAAAGAACTCCAACTCCCAGGAAGCAATATGACAGCTTTAAAAAAAAAACAGATCAACAGGAAGCAAGGCTGGAGAAGATGTTGGTATTGGTAAATAACTCAAAAGCTCATCCCAAGAGATGCAAAACCTACAAGTGTGCAGATTTCAGTCTGTGGATTGCAATATCTGGAAATGTTTGAAAATTCTAGGAATTGCTGTCTGCAAACCTTAAAGAATGCACTCTGACATCATGTTTTAAATCACACTTTAAAAATAGGTCCTATTACATGCACACCTGCCCTCAGATGTTAAGAAAGGGAGTAAGATCTCTTTACGCTTACCTCATGCGCAAGACCCAGATGAACAACTTCCACCCCTGCTTCCAATGGCCCATCACCCAACACAGGACGACGTGCATATGTCCTTCTGTGCTTCTCATCCACTCGCACCAAATACCATGTTCCTTCAGAGAGATCATCCACTGAGCATTTTGGAATATAGTTGGCTATAAAAAGAGAAAATCAGAGATCTATATAATATAGACAGCTGACTGCCAGTGTTAGCAAACTTCCCTACAAATAGGATTATTTTTTAAAGATTCTAGCTCCTTTTATCTTCTGCCAGTGTAAATGTCAATAGATGAAAAGCCATCTTTCCTCTTTCTGCGCTTCAAGGCTATATGAGAAGGCTCACTATCCCCCATCCTCAGCCATCCCAATAATGGAGACACCTCCCTTCTGAGTTAACCCACTGAGCTGGTGCTAATGCACTCATGTGCCCTATTCCATTGCTCACATAATGTACAATGCTCAGGTTCAACATCAAGTCATTTGGCTGAAATGCTGGTCGAGTGGAACACACAAGCTGGGTCTTGAAATCATAGGGACATCCTTATTTGCTATCAAATGAGATTTTATCCAAATTATTTTTTTTTAAGCTGGATAGCATCTGAAAGTACACTCCTTGTTTTTAAAAAGGGACAATGTCTACTTTATCATTTCATATTTGCTTAATAGAGATAATCTCTGAACTTATAACAGACATCAAGAAAGATAATATATTGCAATTCCACTTATAGTCAAATTTAAGAGGAGACTTACCATGGGTTGACTTAGTCATGATTAGGCTTCACTCATTTCAATAGGTCTGATCTAAATTAAGTCTGGATCAAACCAATATAAATGCCCCATCATCACTAAAACTGCCACTCCACCACCCACTTACCTAAGTGATGAGTCTCTTGTCTAATCATCATGTTTTCTGCAAACAGCTCTGGTGAGATGCATTTCCTTGAATCAAGCCGTGCTTTTAGATCAGATAGACTTGCTGTTATTTTATCCAGGGAAGAGCCTAAAGTACAAAGCAGTGACTTTTTGGTGGTTTTTTTAAAGCCATGCTTCACGTTTTGCACAAACAATAATGAGGCAAATGGACATAAAAAACAGAATTATGGAAAACAGCCATTTCCTAATTTCCTATGATACTGTGGGGGATTGAGAGAGATATCCCAGTGAGTTGAGTACCTGGCTGAGGCGTTAAGAGAGTTTTGTTTCCCCACTGTGCCACCTGGGACAAGAGCCAGCCTCTACGGTCTTTGGCAAGCTGCACAGTGCCAGGATACCCCCACAGAAGAATAGTACTGTATTCCACTTCAGAGTATTCTCTTCCTAGAAAACCCTGAAAAAGGGTTGCCATAAGTCAGAATTTACTTGATGGCATGTGATCATTATTACTCAATTCTTCAAAAAAGCTCTGCTTTATGAATGTAGGATATTGTGCTTCTGTACCCTCAATTCAAAAAACCAGGAAATGGCCCAAGATTGCTGCACTATACTGTGTCAGCATTGCCATTAGGAAAAAGGATGCCAAGCTTTACACAGCACAGAGCAACCTAAATGTTGACAACACCAATAGCAGCAGTCAAGATGGGCTACAGGATACCCCCTTCTATTCACTACCGTTCAAAAAGTGACATCACAAAGGAAAATCTTAGATGACTCCTTTTTTCATCCGTTAACCAAACCCAAAGCAATTGTCAGGGGTGTTTTTCAATAAGTGTGAATGACTGCCAAGTCTTGTAACACCTTTAAGACTAATTATTTTTATAAGCTTTTGTGTCTAAGCACTCATCTTCAAATGAATGGAACCTGGACACAAGAAAGCTTATAAAAATAGAACTAGTTACTTTTAAAGATGCCACAAAACTTCTGGTTTCTCTTGTGCTACAACAGACTACCATACCTACTAGTTAGACCATGCATTCAAGAGGCTCAAACACACGAGTGCCACATATCACTGTCTTGGCAGCTACACAAAGTAGGTATTTCTTAGAAAATGAAAACTAAGACTGCGAGAATCCCAAATTCTGTGGTGGTTTTCCTATGATCCAACAGAATCCTCAGGTATGCAGAGTCATGTAGCAAGCGCGCTGAAGCCTCTACTATCTCAGACCTCCAGGAGGTGCTCACTCTTCTTCCTTAGTTGCTGCCACCAGGTATTATTCAATGACACATGTGTTACTTTGAAAGTTAAACTTGTTTATTTGATCAGTAATATGTAATAGGTAAATCACAAGTTGCTAATCAATCTCTCTCACTCACTGAACTCACTGACTCACAGAACCCTACTCTCACTGACTTCCTGGCTCGCTGACTCACATACTCCATACACCCCCCTTTATATCCCAGCCCCTCCCTCTTTAGAACCACCTTCCGTTCATTCATTGGCTCCTTTTCCACTGCTCAGCTGTGACGGACAGGTGAGGGCAGGGCTGAACACTACAAGTCATTCATCCATGACTGCTGTATCTTCACATGTACACATTCCCAACAGGAACTGAATATTTTCCATATTGCACATCAATGATTCCATGGTAGAAATCCTGTTTGTGTAAATTGCACAGCATAAGGTTGATGACACCATCAGCCATAAACTGAAGAACTTACACGAACAGGATTTCAGTCCGCATCTATCAGAAACAGCAATGTATGTTAACATGTCAGGGATTCTACTTACCAGGGGTTGCATCTTGGCTAACTTTTATGGAGTACAGAGTAGCAGCAAAACCTGAGCCATAAGAGAAGACCCCAATTCTTTGTCCTGCTAGTTGTTGAGGAGAGTACCTACATACCAGAGGACATAATATAAGTATGTTATATTTTATTATAAATCTAATTAAAAAAATGAATGGAAAAAAATAACCCAGTGATCTACATGGCTGAGGGAGAATTGAGGCTCGTTCTCTGCAATTGTAATCTGTTATTAGTCCAAGCCTACATAAACATTCATATGTTGATGAACTGTCTTCTGGATAATGCACCCTAGTAGCCATAATTGTTTCTATTATCACCTCTGCATAAGGAGTCTATGCCTATACTGTTTGTGAAGTTTTACTCTATGATTTCGCACCTTCAAGTTCCAAATTGTGTTCTTTAATCCAATTGTGTAACAAATGAACACCAGTTGAATTAGCATATGATCACTCTCAGGCCTACTAAGAATTTTTAATTTTTTAAAGTACGACAATACTGAACGTGAAAGAACCATGTAATCTATCACATTTTCGCCCTTTGGGCCAATAAATGTGTATAGACGAGTCTGGGTCTACCTCTGTCCCATTATATACCCTGACCTCATGGCGCAGTGGTTAAACCGCTGTACTGCAGCCAAAACTGTGCTCACGACCTGGGGTTCAATCCCAGGTAGTCGGCTCAAAGTTGACTCAGCCTTCTATCCTTCTGAGGTTGGTAAAATGAGTACCCAGCTTGCTGGGGGGGGGGGCAATGTGTAGCCTGCATAATTAACTTGTAAACCGCCCAGAGTGCTTGAAGCACTATGGGGCAGTAAACTGTACGCTGTACTGCAGCCAAAACTGTGCTCACGACCTGGGGTTCAATCCCAGGTAGTCGGCTCAAAGTTGACTCAGCCTTCTATCCTTCTGAGGTTGGTAAAATGAGTACCCAGCTTGCTGGGGGGGGGGGCAATGTGTAGCCTGCATAATTAACTTGTAAACCGCCCAGAGTGCTTGAAGCACTATGGGGCGGTAAACTGTATAAGCAGCACACTTTGCTAACCTGAAAATAAGCCCTAGTATGATTTTTCAGGATGCTTGTAATATAAGCCCTACCCCAAAAATAAGCCCCAGTTAAGTGAAACCCTGCCCTCCACCATTGTGCAGCAACCAGAAGAAGATGACATGACTGTGTTTGAATAAATGTAGATTGTTGTACTGTACATGAAAAGAATAAAACATCCCCTGAAAATAAGCCCTAATGCATTTTTGGAGCAAAAATTAATATAAGACCCTGTCTTATTTTTGGGAAATCACTGTACACCATATTTATATAGCATTTCATTTCAGAAAATGAGGACTGTCTGGGAATTCCACTTCTTTGACATGTCAAAACTAGTGCTGGTCCCCAAGTTTAAAGGCATTCACATTAAAGATGCTTAACTTACTAATAATTCACAGGAAGAATTCGAGATTGAGCTATGGTTCAAATATAATCTGGCCTTTATGGGATATCGTGCCCAAGCCTGTCAAATCATAAAAAAAAAAACCCAAACCCATGATTTACTGCCATCATACTTACTGCGCTAAGAGAGAAGCAAGGCAGCCATAAACTGAAGGTGTATACATATTTCCATTCTGATTAGAAACAAGCAAGGAAGCCTTTGTCTTTTGATTGAAAAGTTCAGCACTGGCTTTCATAAAAGCTTTCTCCACATCTCGGTCAAAATAAGTGTCTTCTAATTTTATATCTCTGAAAATGAAAAATATTGAGTAGAAATGCAATACAGTAAGGCAACAAGGAACTTGCAGATTTAGAGCAACAGATACTGATCGTCTGTACTGTATGACATCTAAAAATTTCCCAAGTTTCCTTTAAGGTAGCTGGATTATGTGAGATCCCTTCATCCCCATCTTTTCAACGTAACTAAGAAATTACACTCAAATCACACAAAACCTGATTTATCAAAAAGTTTACATCCTGTATTCAGTCCTAATATTAACTTTAGATAACAGAGTGCCTAACCACATAGGCATTTGTACTGCTGTTTCATCCACTATGGGGACAGGCTGCTTCACTCCTTTTACTGGCAACTAAGTGGCATAAGTGCCTGTACATACCTGCACCTTTCTGGCTTCTTGCCTGTATTTTAGCTACAGATAGGACTGCTTCATTTTGGTTCAAGTCCAGCATATGTAATTGATAGGATCAAACCAAAGTGGGCGACTGGCTGTTCCTTTGGAGAAGTTGTTTATTTGGAAACTTTGCTGGGTGGGCAGGGAAAGGGTTAAGTTTTACTGGCCTAAAACTGTTAATTCCCACTAAAGCAGACCCAATGAATCAATGGGAGTTTGTTGAGTCAACACGTATACAAATCCCACTGATTCAGTGAGCCTACTCTTGTTGGGACTAACAACGGAATTTAGCTCTTGCTCTTTAAAGTGATGCAGTGTTTTTTCTCTCTCTCTAGTTCTAAAATAGGGGCAGAGGTAGACACTGTAGATAATGCCTCATTAACATCTAAAAACCCTATAGCGTTGGAGAGACAAGATGTGCTATAAAATACTACATCTATAATCCTAAACGCAGGATGTTTTCAGCAAGGCTCCTAAACACTACCTATCAGAAGGTGATGCACACCTCCTTGGTTTTTTCCTGATTTGCTTTCTCCCCCACAACCAGGCAAGAAAAAAAAACACCAAAGCAGCATGAGGTAAACATGAGGTAATACAATGGTGTCTGGATCTCTGTAAAATTCTGCAAATGAAGAGAGAAAAACCTCATTTGGAAATATATTTGCTTACTATGCTATGAATGCCAATGGGAATTATTCTGATTAAAGATGTACAGGATAATGCTACAGCACCTCTAACCCATAAGCATGACTTTGTTTCCTGTTCTGAATTTGTCTACTTCCTCCTTGCAGGAATTAATTAAAACTGAATAGACTAGTAAAATCCTCATTATAATACCAAGTGATAGTTCTGTTTCTCAGGCAACTTCTTATATGGATTCATTAGACCCTCCCCAACCTTGTGATGATTCTAGCTAAAATGCCCATAATAAACAATCTTTTATCCATTTAAAGTCTTCTACAACATTTTTGCACAACATACTTATTGTAATTTTACCTAAACGCTTCCAGCCCACTGTAGATACCATTTTCTTCTATTAGCATCTGATCATTGAGAAAGTCATTCAGCAACAGGCGAGCTACAGATTTCTGCACAAGTTTGCAGTATGGAGAATGAAAGATCATGAAGCCAAAGTCATTCAAGGTGAAGTCTTTGTCAATTCCCTCTGGAAAAAGAAAGACATTAGTGATGTTCTGTTTATGTCTACAAAGCATAAGGCTGGTATCCTAATCACAAAAATGGAGTGTAAGGGTTCCATATCTCAAGTAAACCATGTTTGCCCTGTGGATCCCCCATCCTGTAGTCACACAAGCTGGATTTTCCATTATTTATTAGAAGAGACACTACATGCAGAATGGATGACTCCACACATGGTATAGGAACACCAAGGCATTGGGCTATGTGCACAACACTTGGGACTACTTTAAGTGAATGCAGAAGAGCTCATTCCAAAGCACACATATTTCTGGACATACATACATACATATATATGTGTGTGTGTGTGTGTGTGTATGTATGTATGTACGTACGTACGTACATGTATATACACTGTTTTTTACTTTTTCAAATGGCACTAACTGTACGATAGCATTAGAAAGACAGAGTTTTTAAGTTAGACCTCTGTGTTTCAAAACTAATAAAGGAACACTGTGCTACCTTCAGCATCATTTGGCAATGTTGGATGCCAATAATTACTTTCAGATAGACAAGGATCCAAAAAGAAAAACTAAAAATACTCAGCTCTGAACTACTGTTTTCCAGCAAGACATACCTTTCTGCCACTGAGCACGAATCTTCTTGCGATAAACAGTGTAGCAGCGATCTAATGCACTGAGGTAGCACTGTATGGATAGTTTCCCATCAACCACAGGATACTCGGATACCATATCAGGTTTATAGAAGTCATAGGCATGCTGCATATGAGTCCCACGCAGTCCTAAAGACAAAAGACCAACTTGAGTGAAATGCTACACCAAAGCCCATTCATAAATTGCTATTCCCGTTTGCAGAATACAGGTCAATCCCTTGTGTGCAGGAGGTGGTGCAGTGGGGAAATTGGGCTTCAAATGTTAAGTATAGCTCAGGAAGGGGAAGACAAAAAACTAAACACCCAATAGCATTGAGTATATTTTGGGGAAGGTCCAGAGTGTTATGTTGTGATTCTAATGATATACCAGCCAGCTCATGTGTACATATTACTGCTCACCCAACCTGCAGGAAAATGATTGAGTGCAAGATTCTAGTTATCATTCTGTCAATAGGAATTTACTTACAATTTTCTTGTTGACAGACTGGGAAAGGTAATCTACTGCTAGTTTACTTCTATGGTATCTCTATCAATTTATTGAGAAAATGAGGCAAATAGAATACTGCTGGAACTCGCTCTGAGCTGCCATTTACCAAGCCACCGGTATAGATAGGAAACTAACCTCTCTCAAAAATAAGAGGTGCATTTGGACCCACAAGCATTGCGACAGCACCAGCTCCTCCAGTTGGTCTGGCATTTCCAGTAGCATAGACAGCAATGTCTCCAGCAACAACAAGTGCATAACGCCCTGGAAAACAAAAAGCAGGAACTATGAAAAGACTACATAAAAACTAGCAGAAAATTTGAGTCCAGCAACTGCTAGCTACTTTGAGCTACAATGCTAAGCATAAGGGACTTGGAAGCAATACCACTGAGTTCGGCAGGGTTTACTTCAGATTTCAAGATGCACATTCACTGTCAGAATCTACAAATCAATCTTAATCTGCCACACACAATATTTACACATTTGGCACTTGAAAGTTTGCAAAGCACTTTGCATACTATTTTGTCTCTACAAACATCATATGGTTATAACTTTATAAGAAAGAAACAAAAGCAGGGCATTTCCAGATGTAGGAGTCACTGAGAAGTAGCAGGGAAGAAGATCCCAAAAGGAAAATAGTTTAGCCACCCATGGTGATTCCAGTAAACTGACTGTGCTGTAACCATCAATTTGAAAATCAACACCACTCCCACACAGCTGAAAGCTAATACTAATATAACACCTCCATAATAAAAATATTTGGGAAATTATAGCTTTTCTATGTATGATCAATGATCCTACTTACACAGAAGAGATTTTAACCTGAAGTTAACACTTGATTTGGCTGATAAAACTGATTTCTAAAAAAAACAAAAAAAAAACAATTCTGACAGTTTTTCTTTTTCCAACTACTATAGTTTGAAAGTTGTAAGTGAGTGAGATTTGCTGGTTTAATATAGAACAGTTATTAACATATTTATTGGGAATGAACTCTTTTGCATGATCTATTTAGATGCACTGTGGTATTCCTGCATAATTTTATACCACTGTCTGACAAAGTCAGACACTGTCTATCACAGAAGCTACGTAGTATAACAAACCTGTCAGTTGTTGCAGAGGTACCAGCTCTCTAACTTTTCACTCTTGCTGATTATGGTAATTTCTTTAACATGAGACATCCATACAGTGAACAAAGAACAAGAAAAGTGTGCTAGCAGGTCCCAATGAAATCAGTGGGATCTAAAGTCAGGATTGCATCCACATTCCGTAGCTTTTTCAATGTCCATTGTATGCATGAGAGTTTTTGCAAACAAAATCTATCCTAGTTTCTTCATGACACTCTTATGCTGGAATGTGGTTAATAACCTCAGAATTCCACGTTTCTGTATACCAGGAAGCAACTATATATTTCCTGTTTACTTCTTATGCCTCTAGTCTTTGAACTGGAAATACTACTTTCTTGTTATTTTAGAATAACATACCTTGTAAATTTTAAAATTCTAAAAATATCTTGTTATTTTATAAGGAAAACAATCCACATAAAATTCAGTCTGGTGCCACCGTTAGCAACTGATTTTACACAGGATCCTTATTTTCAAACAAACTAGAGAAGCATTCCTTAGTCTGGTAGCCACCAGCTACATTAGACTATAGCTCCCAGAATTTAGATAGCTGCACAGATTATTCTGCCTTCTTTATTCCATTTGCAATCAGCTCAGCAAACAATTCGCTTGCCTGATAACTGTTTCCCCCACCTTTTATGCACACTTGCCAACTGAAAACAGTGGGCTCTCTGCATCCACTTCAGAGAAATCATGAAATAAAACTGCCGAATTATTTGTTCCCAGAATAGAAATCTGGTGGCAAATTGTGAAAAAATGTAGTCAGCCATATGACCTCTCAAGAACTATTAAGGTGCATTTCAGAAGCCCCTTTGAATTGGGAGCTATAAAGATTGTCTGGGGGGGCAGACTGGACTACTGGGCCACCAGCTTGCCATTTCAAGGAAACATAGGACTACCCAGTTATTACTTATCCAGTTCTCAGCAACACACTTAGAGATGAGCACCCAGCTCCTGCCCTCTTCATCAGTCCTTTTCCTAGGTGTAGAGTGATACATCTGAAGAGAAGAGTTGTGGCAGTTCCAAATGTGAGGAAGAACCCTGGTAAACTGAGATTTTTGTTCATTTGGACACCCTACACAAGACTCTTCAGACTCATTGTTCTCCACATTCATTAAGAAAGAAGGAACTAGTTACTCTCTCTAAGTGTACTGCTCAGAACCAAGTGAGTATCAACTGAACAGGGTTAATGCTGGAAGCAATTTACACTTCATCCTTATTCTCTGCTTTGCAAGTTGTCCAAGATATTATTAACTTGAAATAATTAAACTTACCATCCCAGGAACTGGATTCCACCCAATTTACAGCATTAAAGAGTGCTGCAGTGCCTCCATAGCAGGCATTGGTGGTGTCAATGCCTTCCACATCTGTGTTACCAGATTCTTCAAACAGCTGCATCAAAACAGTCTTTACAGATTTTGATTTGTCGATGATTGTCTCTGTTCCAACCTCCAGTCTCCCAATGCAATTGTAAGAGAGGCTGTTCCTCTCCATCAGCTTCTGGACTACGGTGAGGCAAAGTGAGTTGATATCTTCTCTATCAGAGCAGAAACCCATCTTGGCTTGTCCCAAGCCAATGGTGTATTTTCCTGCATCCACGCCATCAAACTTCTCTAACTCCGCCTGATCGACATACTGGGAAGGAAAATAGATCTCCACTGCAACTATTCCTACATCTTTTGGCCAACAGGCTTCAGCATTGACAGGAAGAGATCCAGGCATGGTGGTATAGCTGAAACATAGAAGGAGTTACCAGTTTTTACCCAAGTAGAACTAAGACAGCTGATCTTGTGCATGTTTACTTTGACCCAAGAAAAAAGTAGTAATATAACCAAAATTTCCTTTCTCTGTATATTACAACTGTTGCTCTGTGTTAGTTTTGTACCTAGATCTCAGGTTTTAGTTTTGTGTCTTAAATGCTGGATCTCAGAGCATTTTAGATAAAGATTTGCTGTTCACTGATAATGTAACCATTAGCGTGGCAATTAACATATTTGTCAGACTGTCTTACTTTGTCCTGAGCAAAAACAGGAGTCCTGTAGACAGAAAAAGGAAATCTCACAACTACAGTATAGACTGTAGTTCTGCCCGTACCACTGGAAAGCTACAGTCACATCTCCACTGACTGCCATATGAACAGAACTATGGTTGGGAACTAGTAAGTACAGCCTCCATTACACTTAGCAAGCAGCATCTTCTACAAACCTTTGTATCTTTGAGTCTTTCAAAGCTAAGAAGGACACTATCTCCCCACAATCACCTGTACTCAACTAGTACAGATCATTCTTAAATTTCATTACAAGTCTCCACATGCCTTCACTGGAAAAAAACACTCTACATATAGACATAACTGTTCAGACCAAGATAATCTTGCACTTCAATCACTCTTCAGTGATGTTACTCAGGTATTTGGTCATCCAGATATGAACTACTGTACTGTATATTCTGCACAGCTTCATGACACATATATTCCACTGTATAGCAAGAGGCTGCTCCCTTGGGGTAGGATTTTGTAAAAAAAAATTCCTTTTAGTCAGTGCTCTACCAGTGCAATCCAGTCCTGTCTCATCCTGCCCTGCTCATAGTACTGAAGATTATTTTCTGGTTTCAGCATTACACAAGAAAGAGGCTAGGTTAATTTCCTTTTACCCTTTACTGGCAGTTTTGTCCAGGATGAAAAGGACACAACACTTTTCTGCTGGTAGAAATGGGAAAAATAAAAGATTCCCATGACAGTTAGTAGACCTACACTTTGTAGTGAGAAAAACAAAAACATGTACTGAATAAACAACTTTAATAAAGTACATAATCAAACAAGGAAGATCTCAAATAAAAATATGACTTCTATATCATGTATGAAGATTTATGGAGTACAATATGGAGCAGTGTACAATCTACCCTAAAACATACTAATTCTTGAAGGAAACCTCCACATTGATGTGGTAATTTTATTTACATAAACACCAAAATAAACTTTGACAAAGTTTTAAAAAATCTTGAAAGCTTATGCTCTGCCCATCAAGCCACAAGAACAGAATTACCAGTCTTATTCCTCCAAATATCTAAATAGAACCTCAAAGTTTACATGCAGTATACCCCAGCATATCTGTCGTGCAGGGTGGCGCAGAAATCATACTGCTGACAGCATTTTTAGCAAAAAGGTACTGGATTTCTATTTCACTAATCAGGGTTTGGCTTGCACTTTGGATAGCTCACTTAGCTGGAGTATCGAGAGTGTTGCCTCCTAGGAGAAAAACTAGCCCTGTATGACCTTGCACAAGGTACATAGTCCCCAAGCACCCTCAGAAGACGGCAATGCTACACCTAGAAAGCAGTGAGGAGGGTTACCTTAAGTCAGAATCAACTTGACAAAACACAAATTTTAAATTTGTTGTTATGCTAACAATGGGATTTGAGAGGCAAACTATAATTTGGTGACTGGTTTGGCTGATGACATAAAAAGAAGGCAGCTTTTACAAAACTGGAGGTGAGAAATTATTTTCAAGCCAAAGCTCCATTTGCGAAAAAGAAGCAATTGCGTTTTAATCGAACTCCACACAGACATGACTTAAGAAAAGTTAGCACTAAAAGAATGGAAGGAGTCCAGAAAAGAATGGAAGAAGTCCAGAAAGCAAGATTGGTGTGACAAACCCAGACCTACCGGGATATGTCACACAGTTACACTAAGCTGCCACCAACCATTCCCTATAAGAAGTCACACAGACCAGGGATGGATTTTTAAACAATAAAAAGAATAAGGTTTATTTTAAATACACACAGGGAAAATAAAACAATCAGGTGAATAACATAAAGTAACGTGGCTTATTCTCACTCATACAAGCATACAGTTTGGTTCACCCAGAACCCTTAACTTGAAGCACAGACCCTGAACCTATCAGTTCTGGCTAACCAACAGACACCTGAACCTATCAGGTTGGTACTCTGACACACAGCAGTACCCTGTCTGACACACAGACTCCCACAACAGCTTCTTCTTCCCAGCTGCTGCTTCGTCACACCCCAGTGTCTCTCAGTATCTCTTAGTGTTTCTCTCACCACACAGGCTTCACCTATTTATACAGTACAGCCCCTCCTCCTGATGTCCCGCCTTCCATTCCCCATAGGATGGAACTTTCCCTCCAAACCCATGACAGACAGGTAACATCAGTGCTGTATGTAACAATTGGTAACACAGAAGAGTCATCATTGTCCATGATGTCTTAGAAAAACAAAATAGTACAGTATTCATCTGCCATTTGACTACACTATTAATTTTTCCAGATTCTTGCTTATGTCACTCAATGACAAAATTATGTGCGGATAACAAAGTATTTCGTACTGAATAGTAACAAGTTATGTTTGGGCATGACCGGTGTTTCGATTAGCCTCCAACAGTGATGAAAAGTGCCTGATAACAGAACAAAAGAAAACACTAAGCTCCTTTAACTATTAGGCATCTGAAACTTCTGTAATTGGTTAAGAATCTGCTCACAGTGATTTCTGCATTTGTAGCCACCATAAATTAAGACTACCATCAGTTTAGGAATGTATTACTTCCTGAGGAACAACCACACACAGAAACAATCTCAGCCTTTAGTTCAGTTGCTCACCTGTGACCTGCAGTACTCCAAGACAGCCCTTTGCTCTTTGTGGAATAACCTCTGAAAAAATAACCAGGCAGCTCTGTTGCAAATGTTTCTAAAGCAGGAGAGATGCCATCCCAGAAGATTGGTGCTCCTCCCACATTTCTCAGTGTCTCTCAATTGGGTCAGAGAACAAAATGCCAACCTGCTTAATTTTACCAGACTTTTGCTGCCCTCGGTTCTATAGTTCTTTTACACAGTCTTTTTATGCAGCATGCCTAGAAACCACACACCAGAGGACCTGATACAGTAAATGGTTTGCCTTTGCCCTATTTAGTCCTGTCGGATCCACAGGTAATTGGCTAGCTAAGAAAAAAAAAAAACACCAGAATACAGTTTGAGACTTGTCTGACACAAGAGATGATGTGGACAACTGCCAAGATTACAAAACAGATGATCACAGTATGCTTCTCAGGGCTGGAGGGTCATTTACATGAGCCTTACCTGAGTGTAACAACACTTTTAATTTCTTACTGGCTTTTTCAAGCAAAAACCATGTTCACGTTTGTCAGCTACTCATAAATACTAATTTTTTTCCTTCATGATAAACTTTGTATTGCAAATTTCTTCCCTCAAAATAGAATTAACAAATCCCTACAGCAGTCTTCCCCAAACTGGGTGCCCTGAACTTCAGATTCTATATTCTATCATCAATGATTATGTTAGCCAAGGCTCATGGGAACAGCAGACTATGCAAAATGATCAGCACAGTCCCAGGTTGGAGAAAACTGTTGTTGACCAATGGATTTTACTCTCTTAGGAATAGTGGTTGCAGTATGAAAGCCTGCACACAGTAAACTGAAGTGAAAGTAGTTGTTTACATGTATAGCACACACAGCTCACACTGACAAAAAAAAAATACCACTACTGTATTAAAAAAAAACAGGAAAAATATTTATGAGTCACACTAGTCAACTACCACCAATTATATTAAATCCCCTACACCAACCCTAGCTAGTGCTAAACATCAGCTACCTGTCCAAACAAGATTTGCATCCCAGTACCACAGCAGCCTTGACATGCTTTAGACCAGTGGTTCTTAACCTTGGATAACCCAGGTGTTCTTGGACTGCAATTCCCAGAAGCCTTCACCACCAGCTATGCTAGTTGGGCTTTTGGGATTTGCAGTCCAAGAACACCTGGGTTACCCAAGGTTAAGAACCACTGCTTTAGACCTTTCTAGTTCCAGCAGAAAAAAACATAAGTTTTATCACATTTGAAAGACTAAGTTATACCTGGCATAAACTTTCAAAGACTTCTGATGAAATGGGTTGCAACCAATGAAAGGTGATGTGAAAGAACACGTGCAAGCTTTTCAGGTGCTACAAGGATCTTAATTTTTGCTACCACAGAGAAAGCCAGCTCCTTGCCTTGGACATTCCTTCAATTCTTGTCAGAAAGCCCTAAAACTTGAGAATTATTGGCAACATAAATTATTTATATAATGGCACCACCGACTGTGGTTCCTAAGAGAATACAGATGCATTACCATCAGACAGCTGCTAAAGCCTTCTTCCAATAAAGATATGCCAGGCAAAAAATCCAAAGAAACCAAACAGAAAAAGAGAAATACATGTGGCACCTTAAAGACTAACAATTACATTTTAATGTGGCATGAGTGCTCACATTAGAATACCACAGTTAATTTTTAAGGTGCCACGTTTTTGTCTTTTCCCGTTTTGTTTCTTTGGAATTTGCCCGGGCACAGGCCAACAGGGCCAGCTCTTCTAAAAACTCCTCCTCCTCTTCAAGAGACTCCACCGACGCTCTCGCACCTGGAAACTGACACGAGGGCTCGCTTGCCCGCCAACCTGGTGCTCCAGGAAGGGCAACAGCCAGCTTTTGGGAGGCGCTGCTCGAGGGCGGAGCGCGTGCTTGGCAACAGCAATTCCAGGCATTTTAAAAATCCCGGGGAACGGCTGCCCATCAGTGTAATAAGCCATAGTCAGCCAGAAGACGCCGTCGGTCTCCCCCCGGGGCGTTTTCCTCTGATCTTTAAAGGAGGAGAAAAGTGAAATGGGGAGTGAGGGGAGACCGATCACGAGCGCTCTCGCCCCTCACGCCGCGACGCGATTCCCATTACCTCTCC